TCCACTCACCTCAGCCTCCCAAGGCACGGGATTACAGGCTGAGCCACCAAGCCCGGCCTCTTTTTAGTTTTTTGGTGCAACAGTGTATTGAGATTTAATGCACATGCGGCCGTTTAATGTACCCATTTAAAGTGTGCAGCTGTATGATTTTTGCTGCATTCACAGAGTTGTGCCGTCACCACCACCGTTTAAAAACATTTTCACCACCCCAGGAAGAAACTCCATGCCCACGAGCAGTCAGGTACCATTTTATGTCCCCATTTCATGGAGGAGGAAGCTAAGACATGGAGAAGCTGCTAAAGTCACATGAGATGGACCAAGTACTTGGCTCCAGAGGCCATCTAGAAACCTCTGCTGTAATGCAGCAGTGATCAGCCAGGGGACACTGGGCAATGTCTCCAGACATTTCTCCCCCCGCTCCTTTTTTTTGAGTCGGAGTCTCAGTCTGTCACCTGAGCTGGAGTGTCATGGCATGATCATGGCTCACTGTAGCCTCAACCTCCTGTGCTCAGGCGATCCTCCTGTCTCAATTTCCCAAGTAGCTGGGACTGTAGGTGCCTACCACCAACCTGGCTAATTTTTTGATTTTTTTTTTTGTAGAGGTGAGATCTCAGTATGCAGCCCTGGCTGGTCTTGAATTCCTGGGCTCAAGCAATCCTTCCATCTCAGCCTTCCAAAGCCTGGGCTTGGAGATATTTTTGATTGTCCCAACTGTGAGGAGGAGGGTTGCTCCCGGGGTAGAAGGAAGGCTGCTGGACATCTGTGATGCTGAGGACCGCCCTTACAGCAAAGAATCACCTGCTCAAATGTTGTGATCCCAAAGCTGAGAATCCCTGGTGTAATCTCACTCTGATGAGCTCAGTCCTTCAGGAGAAAAGAAAAACCAAAAGAGAAGGGGCCTAGAGGAAGGGAAACGACTGGAGTTCGAATAGGAAGAATTTCAGAGCATGTGGTAGATGTGGGTGACAACATGGAGATAAATTCTGAATAGCATAGAGGAGACTCAACAGGAAAGAGATCTGTGCTCCACTAGTGATGTCTGCCCTCGTGAGGGTAAGGGAGAAGGGGCAGGCTTCATGTCTGTGTCTGGTCTCACATCAGGTGACCATAGTGCCAGGCAGGAGGAAGAGTTGGGAAACAGAGGTGCACACACCCTGGGTAAAGGTGGCAGCTGCCACTCTGCCACCTGTAACCCCGCAGGTACCGGAGACCCGTTTGTCTGTTTTCAAAAGATCCTGGAACCTGGGATTCGAATGGGAAACTGGTATTCACACTGAAGCCTGCATTTTCTGGTAGCCCTCTGTGGGCCAAGCTAAGTGGGCCTGTGGGCCGCTGGTTGGAGACCCGGGAGGCGGCTCCGCAGCATGGCGGAGGGTTACGTGAGTCTTCGTTGAAGAAGTGGTGGGTGTGGGGAGTCGGGGACAGGTAGCAGGCCGGGCCCCACCCTCTGGGGCGGTGCTGTGTGGGGAGGAGTATTGGCTTCCCCTCGGGGGCCCCCACTGTCCTCCCCAGTGGTTGCATCAGGCCTCTCCAGAACAGGTTGTCGCAACTTGTTTTTTGCTTCAGCTTCCTCCCTGTGGGGCAGGGGGCGGGCTGGGTGCCCGCTGGACACCTTTGATAGGGGCCTAGGAGCTGGTGGGGGTAGGGCTCTGCTACGCCAGGTGACTGTTTCATCAATTCAGCGCATCCTTCTTGGGGGTCTACTGCGTGGGCCCTGGGACACAGCAGTGACCGGGACAGATAAACATCATTGCCCTCCGGGAGGTGGCAATTCCGGAGGGCTAGATGGACAGCAGACTAAGAAGTGAGCGCATATACTGTCCATGGTGACAGGGACTGTGAAGAAAACAGTGGGAGCAAGGATAGACAGTTGAGAGAGGCTTGTCTCAGAACCACTGGATGTGCCTATTCCCTCTGCCTAGGACCGGTTCCCGAGATACCTGCCAAGCCGTTTTGCACTTGGGGCTCTGTGTCTGCTCTTCTCAGAGGAGCTTCCCCTGAACGTCTCTTTGAAAGAGCCCGCCCCCCCCAGCCCTCTCGGCTTCCTCTATTTTTTGTGGTCGCCCTCATTCCTGGCTGCCGTTTTATGTCAAACTTGACGTACAGTCTGTCCCTGCCCCTGCTTTGCGAAGACAGGGATTCAGGCTGATTTGTCCTTCACTGAGGTGCCGTTGGCTCCTGCCCTAGTGCCAGGCACACGGTGGGTGTGCAGTGAGTATCTGTGGAACAAATGGATGAATATGAGAGTGACTAATTCCTTCCAGGCAGGGTCACAGCTTATGTCTGTGTCCCCGGCATCCAACTCGATGTGCATGGGGCCCTGGCGGCGCTTGTGGGGACGGGAAGTCCCAGGGAGGGCTTTCCCCCAGGATAGCCTCATAAGAGTTTCCTGTCTCGTATCGCAGTCCTGCCTGCCTCCAAGCCCCTTCTTCCAGGAAGGCTTTGCAGTTACGGGGTGTTCACCTGCCTCCTTTCTCTGTGACCTCAACAGTTCCCCCTGCTCCCCCCCCATAAGGAAATTGACTCAGAGAGATGTTGTGATGCTGGCAGT